CAAACGGTGCCCGCCCCCCCCCCCCCGCCCCGGCCAACTCCCCCCAGTTTCTATACTGGACATGACATCCCATGGTCTGGAATACCCCTTTGGCCAGTTTGGGTCAGCTGCCCCGGCTGTGTCCCCTCCCAGTTTCTTGTGCCCCTCCAGCCTTCTCGCTGGCTGGGCAGGAGAAGCTGAAAAATCCTTGACTTAGTCTAAACACTGCTTAGCAACACCTGAAAACATCAGTGTGTTATCAACATTCTCCTCATACTGAACCCAAAACATAGCACTGTACCAGCTACTAGAAAGAAAATTAACTCTATCCTAGCCAAAACCAGGACAGCAAGTTTAAAAAAAATATAGCTTCAGATACCACAGATCTCAGTATTGTATTGATATGTAGCATTAATGCATAGCAAAAAACCTAATGTCAAACAGTAAAATGGTGAATAGGCACATTCTGGCAAAAAGAAAAGTGAAAAGGAAGGATAAAGGCTAGATATTTTAAACAATTTATTTGTTACTATAGCCCAGGGCTTTTTCTTGATTCTTTTCAAGCTGCAATAAAAATTATATGAAATATTTAAAATGTGAACAGGCAAGTTTACTTACTGTTTCCTGGATGCCAGCGCACTGCATTTAAATATGCATTACAGTAATGGAAGAGAAATTCATGCTTGGATCTGGTTACTTTTCCTTGAAGTAAGGGCATCAGATCATGTCCATCAATAATTCTGAGTAAGAAAGCATTTCAAAATCAGAAGAATAACCCAAAACTCATTTTACTGAGAAGATATTATAACTCTGCATTTCCAATACTTAAACAAAAAAATATGAATGGCCACCCCCAGTTGGTCAGTTTGGAGAAAAACCCTCAGGTGCTCTTCCCCTTTGATTTTTACATTATTTAAGGAAACATTAATTTTACATTTTGCCATTAGGAATGGTTGTTTCCTCAACCCATTTTTATATTTTTTTTTCTTTTTTTTTTTCCTGAGAAAGTGACCAGTTGTGAATAAATTGCTACAACACAGTCCTCCAGGCATACATGCTCAAGCTGTTTGAGAGTAGTCTGGCCAAAGTAACCCTAAGACAAGAGAAATGTCTGTTGTGCTGCTAGCATCCCCAGAAGTAACAGTAAGAACTCTGTCCAGCATATTATGTATGCCAGAATTTAAGACAGAAGAAGTAATTTCAAAGTTGAAAATGAACTATGTTTAAATAGGTGTTTATCAACTACATACACACACAGAAATATATATATATATAAATTCTCTAAATGCTGCTGGACAATTTTGATCGTGCTTTTAAGGAGTCAGTCAATTTACATCAAAATGGAGTTATACAATAAGCAAGGCATTTAAATGTTTCCATAAATTAAGCCTTTGAATTGCTGGAATCAGCTGGCAGGGGAGAAATCACAATCTGCATTTTTGACCTGGTGTGAATTACAAATCTACAAGAAGTTTTATAGGAAATTACATTTTGCTGATATACAGATCAGCAGGCAATTCTTTTTAAAGCATTTTGAGCAACATCTCATAAAAACTTTTTGGAAGCTTTTAAAAAGTTTAAAAATGCCTATGTTAATTTTCATTACCATGTAAAACCCTTTCTCATTAGTGTAACTACTACAAGAGAGGTACTAACTTCACTTTTTTAAGCCATGAGCTACATATGACTATGAAATTCTTGGCAACAATTGTATGCAACAGCACCATTCTGAGTAGGACTCTTCTCAAAGGATGGACTGGAAAACGTCCTGGAATTCCAAATGTTGTCCAAAAGCTCTGCTTTCTGGGTGCATCCCTGTCTGTGGGAGTTTGTTGAATTAGTCTTTCCAACTTCCAATTTGTCCTGTCTTCTTGCCTGAGTAATGCACTCTTGTCTCACCCCTGCGGGCTTGCTCACTATAAAGCTGAGAGCAGGATATATGCACATCTATTGAAGACTTTCTGTTCTACAGCCCGTTGATGAGGAGAAGGGTGTCTCCAGTGCATTCCCACAACTGCTGGTTTCAGGGGGATATATGAGACTTTTCTTCCTGATGACTTGTTTTTCTTCTTTAACTAGGAGCACCTCCCCCTTTCCTTTTTAACCTGCTCCCTCCCAGTGACTGAATCCTAATCATAGTCATTTCCCTTATTTCTCAGGAAGAGTTCAGTGGAGTGATAGGAACCCAGCTGCTGGATCAAAAATGCTTCACGCTAGTCCACGACCTACCATGAAGCAGTAATTATGGCACCTAGTCTACACAGAAGAACTAGAGTGGAGCAACTTGCAAGCAGAAGTTACACAAGTATATTGGGATTTCTATCAAAGAGATCAAAATAAACCATCGATGCTTAGTCTTCACTCAAGCAATATGAAAACAAAGTGTGTAAGATCTGCCCACATTCAGAACAATCTGAACTGCTTAGGTTTGACAGTTACTGCTTGCAGGGGATCTCACAGGACCAGCCTGACTAATTTCTCACATCTTACACATGTCCTGCCCTGCCATTTCCTTCAAGCACTCAATGAACCATCATTAGCAGAGTGTCTCTGCTCACCACTGGTTTTCCCCACATGGATGCTGGATGCTTTTGTGCTCAAAAGCTGTTTGTGTGTGGTAGATGTGTTCAACGCATAAGTGTATCAGCAGGTTCCTCCAGTTACTGGATTTGGATGGCAACAGAGTTTAGGTGGAGGCACCTTGCCACTGAGACTGGCTATCTCCTGAACAAGACAAAGCACAGGGATGTAGGCGTGTCAATAAAGCATCTTACAAATTTTAGAAGTCCAGTGGGTTTTCTTATCAGGCTGCAAACTCTGTAAGGGATTATTTTCACTAACTTGGTAAAGAACAAAAAAAATGAGAAAAGTTTAGCTGGCAATTGATGTGTTTTGTTATACTAAGCAGGCAAGGTTGAGCTCATAAACTTTAAAATAATTTACACTTGCAGTTCCTTTTTCTACCACGTTCACTCATGCAGAACAGAGCCTTTTCTGATACATTCATTTTGGCTTTTAGTAAATAATTCTAGGCCTGATTTGACAGTATGTTGCCCTTGGTGGTATTCTCTTCTTGCTGCTTGGTGCTTGTTCTGCAAGTTAAGCTGTATTTACATACAATGTTTCTGTAAAATATATCAGTATGTCAATATGAAAAGAAACAACATACTACTGTAAGTAATGATAAAAAAGTGCTTTTAAAATCTAGCTTTTTCTTTTCATTCTCACCTCTATCTTAATAGACATCACCAGAATGTATAAAACACTCATAAGACTTTCTCTAAAACAGAGATAACTACAGACCATACCTGTCAGAGGGTAACTGTGCCTCTGCAAGTTTGACTATGGTAGGAAATATATCCATGTTACTTGTTGGCTCATCAATATAGGCACCAGCTTGTATCACTCCAGGCCAACGGAGAAGCCCTGGCACACGAATACCTCCTTCCCAGTTCATTGATTTTCCACCTGAAAAATGAAAGTTTCGTTTGCTAAGAAATTACTTTCTTAGAAAAATACACCCCCCTCCCAAGATTCAATTTCCAAATATTAAACATTCTGTCTAGCTAGAATCTTTTCATTAAATGTATTTATCTTATTTTTAATTTGCTAGGTTTACAGTTTCCACCTACAATCAGTATCTCTCTCACAGTAAATCTACTAAAGTGTATTAGAGCTTATAAAATGTATTTAGTTTACAAACAAAATTAAATAACAGCTGTAGGAGATAAAAAGGCACCTTGCAGGAATCTTCATATAGAATTTGGTCTAGATAGTGTGCCACACAGCTATGTGAAGATAAAACCAAAAAACAGGAATCAAAAATAAATTAAGGTATACCTAGATGTCTGAGGTATGAACCCAGAGAGAATATACAGTATTTTATTAAAAATGGTGCTTAATGACTTTAGATAGAAGAAAGTGCTTACTTAAGTATGTTACTGAATTCTCCAATTCAATGCATTAGGAAGAAATTCGCTACAGTGATGGTAGATCTCAGGATGCCGTGAAGACCTTTTTGACTTCTAAAACAACACAGTTGCATCAAATGCGCTATCAGCTGACTGTATTCAACACAACATTGCAGCCATTTCCTTTGTTTTTACAATATCCATCACTGCCCAGTCCTCCTGACATCTTTGCAGAAGGGCAATGTGTTTATTCTATGACAATATTTCTACCATTACTTAATATATGATTGACACAACTCTGTATGAAGAGCTATCACAAGTACCATTATTGATATCTTCCACAGTCATGTCACTATGTACAGCACTTCAGGTTGATCTTTGAAATTAATATATCACTTGGAAAAAAATATTTCTGGTAAACAGATGGGGTTTGGATGTAGTTAAGCATGGTCTGGGCCAGGCATTTACAACTAAATTGATATTGTTTTATATAATAGAAATGTCTGAAAGAAGAGGAATTAACTGAATCAAACAGCAGTTAAACATCAACTGAATCAAACAGCAATTCATGGTTCAAACTAAACTACTATGAGCCTGTTTTTCCTGTATCTCCCTTTTTCAAGTAAAAAAACCCACAAAAGAACAAAGTATTACAACAAAGTACTTCAACAGTGCTGTCTCCTCAGCCTCTTAGACCTTCAAAACACCACCTAGATGCTAATATCTTTGGTGTCGAGCCCAGGCCTTACCATACATGCTGTCTATCTTACTGACGACTCAATGATCTTTTCTATTTCAGTATTGGGGGGTTCAGAACCCACCTGCTTTTCTACAGGTTTTTCACTGCCTATACAGGTAAGTGGCAACTTCAAGAGAGAAAACTCCTTTGCATAGATCTTTACCCATTATAAATATACACACACACACAGTTTTGTGGCTGAAAAAACTTTAGTTCATGATTCTTTGTTATATCAGATTTTTGCTTATTTTTTTCATGGGCTTTATCAGAATTCATAATATTGAATAGTCCGGGACACATAATTATCTAGTCTGATGTCAGAAAACTTAGACTTTCTAATATCCAACATTACGTCAAGCAACAATCTTTGCTTAAGTTGTTTTTGGAAAGCAGTGCCAAGTTCAGAACACAACAAGACTGTCTTTTAGAGCAGTCTTAAAAATTTACTCTTGTCACTGTGTCAAATGCAATTCCATTCTCACGATAAAGCACATGGCCACCTATTCTAAAACTGAGGAATGAGATGCATGGATTATTTTTGTTTACATTCTTGTAAAAAAGATGATTTTCAACACAAAAATCTAAAGAAAATGTAGATCTAATTTATAAAGGTGTTATTTGGTGAGGTTTAAAACACTTGTCACCTAGCAGAAGGAAGCGTTCACCCAACAGTATGCTGATCTGTTGTTAATACACTTGGTTAAGACCAGGTTAGATGTCAATAAGACTGTGTGCATCTTCTGTAGAAAAGATTACTCTACCAGTGTAAAACAGTCATTAAGATTTTAAAAGTTTGGTGGGGATTATGTGTTACCTAGCAGGAAAGTGTCAAGATTAATATCCTGACTGAAGTATGGTTCACAGAAAATCTTGTTGAGCGGGAGTAGTTAAATCTGAATAAAAACACAAGAAAAGTATACAGACATAAAATTACAGATATCCTCAAATTAAGATATTTTCAGTGAACAGTTATGCTAGGGAGATGATTTAGTTCATGAGCCAGATCCTAGTTCTGTGTACACATCACAGCAGCTTGTTGGCTGGACAGTGCAGACAGACAGAAATCTGAGCTGAACTATAACACAGGTAGCTTTAAGTGTGAGGTTCCTTTTATTTCTGTATACCTGTCTGAACCTAGTAACAGCACTAGCTAGATTGGGTTGTTTAAATAAATTCTCATTTTACTGTTGCCTCCTGTGTAATCTGAAGACAGAGCAATTTCAAGCTAAGTGGTGAATCCCATTCCCACACATGATGCAATTCTTAAAACCTCAATATTGGATCACTTTCACAGCTCCTAGGTTCACAGTACAATTTTCCTGAATCACTACAGAACAGGACAGAAAACTTGCACATTACCCAAGCACAAAGGGAGCACTCAGCAAATTCTGCCTCCCTGCTGTGAGGTACAAAAAGCAAAATGGACTCCACAGCAGGGCTATCTCCTCCCTCATGTCTAGGAAGAAGTGACTGCTGTTTTCCTTTCAAAAGGCTAATTGGAGCATAATTTTTTGATATCTCTGGAGGTTAGGAATAGCAGGGAACCAGGGCAGGAATTACAGGTCATTGCGGAAGACTGTCTTCTATTATCTATGCTTATGTGGTGTTCATCTTTATTAGAACTGTGTTTACTGACATCACTAGAGTTGCTTAATGCCATTCTATGATTACAAATCCCTTGATATACATTTTCTTTAAAACTCTAGCTGTTAAACATTGTTCAAATTATCTGCATTCTTTTTTCCTTAAAAAATAAAACAAGGTTTCACTACTAATGCTTGAAACAGGAACCAAACATCCAAACAGCTAAAATATTAGAAGGAAAATAAAAAATCCACAGAAGGTCATTAATTTAAAATTAAATGTCTTGATATTTCAGGATCTGACTCATTAGTTTTGTATTTTGCTTGGACTTAACACTGAAACAGAGAAAAGGCAGCAACCTAGTAGTTTGTATGCCTGGCAAAATCTAGGCCACCTAGCTATATATTATTTTTAAAGTCTTCTAAGAATGTTTTTAAAACAGCATAAAACACCCCAGGCTGTATTTTCATGCTTAGCTATCTATGCTTTCTGAGTAGTTGCACCCTTCAGTGTTATATTGAACAATAGCCTACATTCACCTTTCCTGAAAAATCTGCAGGAGCAGGCGAAGTACAGACATAACTCTCTGCAGTCATCCACAACATGATGTCAAATTTCCATTTTAACCTCATTTCAAATCTTAGCTAAAAGAATATCTCTTTTTCTTCTCCCTCTGGTTTAAACTGACTATTACCTAACTCTGGGAATAGAGCTTTTACAAAGGATTATATATACACAGGGACTCTGTGGTGTATCACTATTAAAATTTTGAATGATGAAAACTATTTAAAATAACATTCTTGGATCACTTGGATCATAACCATACTACCCTTTCCTTCCTTCTTACATTCTTCTACAAACAAAGCTTCCAAACCCAATTTATTCTCTTGCATGATAGAAAAATACAAGGAAATTAATTATTTTACCCATTTGTAATGGACTTTATGCTACAAATATTGACGATCAAAACTGGTTACTATTGCTTACCTTATAAAATGATCAAACAACAATTTATTTTCAATGGCAAGCTCACTCTTTAGTTTACTGATTTTTAATCTGTTTCATGTACTGCTTTTGTTAGTTTTCAACCTGAGCTGTTCTTGTACAGGTGAACGTGCAGACATAGCTCATTTGGACATCTTCTCATCTGACCTTTCTTCCAATCAAATGAAATTGTCTCTCGGGATATTTTCTGTTTCAGTCAAATTAAAAGATGGGTTGATTATTTAAAAATCTGGATCACTTGAGAGAGAATATAAAAATACAGTACATTTGAAAAAAAGGTCAGTTCCTGCTCTCATCAAAGTCAAAAGTGAAATTCCAACTAGTATCACTAAATATGCAACAGCATAATTCCTGTCAACTTGATTTCTCTGGGACTTACAGATAGGAAACAGTTTACTAATAGCTTCAAGAAACACTGCTGAATGAACTTATCACTGCAATAGATGAAACTGTACAAAAATAATAAATTTAAATAAAATATTGGATAATTGATTCCTCCAGTCCTTGTTTAGCTCTCACAGACCAGTAGTAGATTTTAAAAAATCAGGGTGTAAGCCCTTAAGAAACATTATTTTTCACGGATATTAACAAGGTAACTATGAATATACGTATTTCTAAGACACAAAGCACTTAAAATTAATGTTGTTCAAAAGGCTTGCCATTATCAGTGTTTGACTGCATTTCTGTTAGGAGCAGAACTCATGACCCACTGCAGCAGCATGACAGTAGCCAAGTGCCTGTATGCATTGTGCTAAATGCTTCATAAATACAAAGAAAGACAATGTTTCTAATGTGCAGGTCCAAGGTACAGGCAAAATATATTTATCGACGTATCCAAAAGAAGCTGACAGTAAGAGTATTAAGAGATGCAAGGAGACTCCACAGAAAATCCCATATGTAACAGTGGGATAGATGTCAATGAGTGGTATCGTGAGAGGACTTCTATTGTCTGTGTGTGTACCACTGAAATAGTATACTGAGAAAAAGTGTGGAGAAAACTTTTTAATGCCTTTGCTGTTTACTGCTATAAAGTATGTAGCAGAGAAGACATATTTTATAACATACTAGAAGATAGTTCAAGAAATGAGTCACTAAACAACTAAATAAAAACTACCAAAAAATAATTAGATTCAATATCTCATGGTACCAAAGAAGAATATAATGGCAAATCCTTTAGACCATTCATCTTAAGCTGCTTGTTTATTCAATGGAGAGAATATTCTATTCAT